GCATTTTTTAGGGTTGACGGGGGGAAGAGTCTCATTAACACAGGAATATGAACATGCTTTATCAAATAACAAATATTATTCCACATTTGATCAGTCAACAGACAATAAAAACAAAATGGCCACTAAGCCAATCAACATTTTGTGCAACACAGGTCTGAGTCTATAGGCATGAACCAACTCTTTCCGACCATATAATAATATAAATAACTGCACATAGTGGTACGCTATCACAGAACAGAAATCCATCCATCTGTCCTGAAATCTGAGCATCTTCTGATAGGGTGGTTTGGGATGTCATGAAAACATTGTTCTATAACTACTCAGTGCAAGAAATAAAACCAGGTAAAAACATTAATATACTGTTCAGTGGAAAGCTAAATGGTTGTCACGTGAAAGGGTTAAAAAAATGAGCCAATCCACTAAACAAATTTCAGGGTTTTTTTTTAGATATCATCAGTCTGCATTATCCAAATCTTAAATACTAACTGAGCTTTCAGTTTAAATCATCCCAGGTGCATCAAAGGAAAGGTATGCAAAATCAAACAGTTCAGTTTGTTTTTTAGAAAGTAAAAAAGCCTGTTCCCTTTCAGCATGCTATAGAGGTGCTCTGTGAAGAAGCAGTAGACTCCCTGCAGAGGTACACCACACCCACCACTGAGCCAGACCTCATACTCCCTGCTGATTGGAGTGCTCTAAGCAGAGGGTCTTTGTTCGATCTCTGCTCTTACACAGACAGCAAGGATGCTTTTCTACAGCATGCTGGCAGGAACAGCCTTTTCTACTGAGACTGATTGTTTTCTAAAGAAAATAAACTGGAAGACTTGGCACACCTTTTATTTATTTTTTTTACTGCACCTGGAATGTATTTAACTGATTTAAACTGAAAGTTTATTGGGTTTTAAGGACTAATTGTTTGATATACTAAGCCATAGCCCACAACTTACATTTTTGCTAGGGCTGTCCTGCATTTTGGGTGTCTTAAAGGTTTATAAAAGTAACCCCTAACAGGATCTGTTGTCAGAAAACCAAAATAGTGTTGGGTACAGAAAATTCAAGGTTGTAAATGACAGCAAAGAGGATTATGCAGGGCAAGGCAGCACAACACTTTTAGTGAGAATTTACTGTAGACATTTCTGGGAAGAGAAGAAACATTAATAAAATACTGTGTTTTCTTGTAGTGCCTATTCTTCTCAGCAAATCAAGGGGCCTAATTTATGGAATTGTACCTCAGTCATTCAATGCTGTGCAGGAAAACTGAAAAAAATACCAGAGAATATCAACTGAACACACGAGGGGTAAGGAGTCACTCACTCCAAAATAATTTTTCTTGCTTGTTCTTAAAAGTCTAAGTCCCCCCCCCCCCCCCCCAAAAAAAAACTGCCTGATATTCCTTTGACCCAAACAGTTAGTCTGGTCTAGAAATCTGGCTGTGCCTCCCCAAACCACTCGCTGCAGTCACTTCTTCTACTGCACACTGTTAAAATAAATGAATAATGGAGCCTTAACCACAAGGGCCACATTGTTCGACAAGGCTATGGTAGAGAGACAAGTCAGTATATCCTGGTAATTAACAAACCTGAGCAAAACGATCGTAACCCCCTCCTAAAAGTGCCCCTTAGCTTCATTGTACCAGACTTAAAAATAAAGCAAAGCATAATGTGTAATAAACAGTAGCAACCAATCAAAAGGCACCATTTACTTATCTTACTCTAGTTAAGTGAAAGTTGATTAGTTGCCATTGGCTACTGTCCTTTGCGCATCACCCTTGCTCCTCATGCAGGTTTAATAAAATGACCCTGTATATGTTTTATATGATTTTATAGTGTTTAATCCATGACTAAGGAGGATAAACTAATTTACTTTATCTTGTTCTCGCCCCACAATTCTGATGAATCACTATAGATTAAGCAGTATTAAGTGACTAACCTAGAGTGCTAACTCCCTGGGTGCTCGCCAGAGTCCTCCGCCTGGCATTTAGCCGCTTAATGTAGTCATAGTTACAGGACATCTGAAATGACTGCATAATGTACACAGCGTGAACACATACAGCAAAGAAAGCCTTCATGGCATGTCATACATTATTCAAAAAAGTTTTATTATTCCTAATGTATATCCTGGCATAGGGATTTGGCACTAAGGACTTAAAGGCAAACCTGTCTCAAGTAGGTGCAGTTCACGTAAAAAAAAAAAAAAAATAAAATAAAAGTGATAAAAATAAAGGCACCTGTCAAGGAAAATGTATTTTAAAGTTTTGCAAGTGCAGATCGAGAATAAAGGCCTTGAATACTGGACTATATTCAGCACCAATACATTTCGCCTGGAAATTACTGTGCTACATACAGAAAAGCAAAAGTCTATTGATGTAGGATGTCCTTAGCCTCGATCTATGGAAGTCATCAGGCACTGCACAAATGTTTAGAATTCTTTAGCTGCATATTGCTTTAACTTGCTTGGCAGTGTCAGCTCCTTCTGTAGTCATCATTCCTGCAGTGTGTTCCAGAGTCTAGCTTCAGATAAACACACAATGGGGCTGATTTACTAAAAGTGGAGAGAAATCCGGTGCAGCTCTGCATGAAACCAATCAGCTTCCAGGTTTTATTGTCAAAGCTTAAATGAACAAGCTGAAGTTAGAGGCTGACAGGCTACCATGCACAGCTGCACCAGATTTTGCGCTCTTCAGTTTTAGTAAATCTACCCCACACATGTGCACTGGAAAAGCAAGTGAGTTTCTATAACAGAAAAGGAATCATAAGCAATAATATAAGGTGTCACTGAGCTTAGCAAGATGGTACCTACCTGCTTTACCACATATGCACCTGAAATACTACATTATAAGGGTTTGCTTACCCATATACAGAATCAATTTTCCGTTAAATTGTCTCTGAAAACTGGGACAAGCAGCCTCTAATAGAGTCTCAGTGATGGGTTCCCTCCATTTTTTAAGAATGCATATCCCTATGAAGAAAAGCAGCCAAGGAAAACATTTCATCCAAATTCACACTGTTCTGAGTGCATCAAGGAACGTATATTCATAGGTACGAAAGAGTATATATAATTCCCTTTCATACTAAACTACAGTGCATAGATTTGAACAAGCCCCGTCCTCGGGAAGAATGGAATTTCTACTTCCATGGGTTTTGATGCATTAAAACTGACACATGTTAATAGGCCCAAAGAAAGAGGCGTTTTGACAGCCACACCATAGAAGACCTTGCCAGAAATGGATGCTGTATGTTTCCAGAGACAATGTAACCTAAACAGGGCTCTCCAGGATTTAGTAAATCTCACCCAAAGCTTTGGAACCAACTCTTTGTAGTAACACAGAAAGATAGCCCTTCTGCACCCATGTAGAGCATAACAGCTGTACCCTTATATCAATGATGTTGAAATATAGCATATTTAAAGTACACTGGCCAATAAGCAAAAAATAAATACCCACCTCATCCTACTTACCTCTACTACTGCTCAGTAAAAATCCTGGTACTTCCAGTTCCACACTCCTTGCCTCCCAACAATGCAGCACTTGGGGCCCAAATGGTCAATGAAAAGGCCCCCAATTCTGTCACATGGGGCAAGATGTGCTAGAGTGTGCAATTATCATCAATACCAGGCATTTTAAGTAAGTGGTGGCAACAGCAGTGGTAAAGGCAAGTAAAAGGATATATACGGTGCTAGTTTATAGTACAGCGATGGGTCTAGTTTTCTTAGGAAAGGTTTAATTTAAATGGAATCTGTCACAAAGCAAAGTACATGTATGAGAGGCCTTAGATGCAAGCTACCATTATCTAACCCCTAGACTGCATTCTAGTTCCAGGGGAGCGGTGTTACAAAATAATTTCAGCAGTCCTGGGGTTAGTATAATGCCTGAAATGAAGAATGGCACTTACGGTTTAAAACTGGCACAAGGGATCAGCACATGTTGGACAACTGTGAACAAGACCCACGTGGATCAAAAGGTTTCTACTGCTTTTACTATAGTGCTAGTAATAGATTTTACATGACATTCAGCATGCTGCAGATCATTTCGTTTTTGAATCATTAAAGTGAACAGAGCACATTATTGAGCACATGATTGGGCTGTGTACTATCCTACAGCTACACTCACTTGTAACAGGACATTTTGCAATGCATGATGGCCCACTCTGCAACAGTTTTGGCCTTCCCAAGATACAGGTTCTATTACACCCATTCACACTTGAGCATACCGTATGCTAGGAGATTTTGAAGCTTTATTTGGGTGATGTGTGCTAAAAACAACATGCCAAACATTACGGGAGCGCCTGAAAAATGCGCATAACATACAATTTTGCACTTTTTATACACTCTTAATGAATGGGGCTGAAAACAACTCATTTTTGTGAGCTTCAGGCATTTGAGTTGAAGGATCCTGAACACTCAAATGTGAATTGGGAAAATGCATAAGATTTGACTTGTTGAATGTTTTTGCTGATAATTTGCATGTGAATAGGCACCTCATGGGTACATACATGGGTTTTGCCTGTGACAGGTTCTCATTAAAACCATCCCTATTTGATGGAACCCTCCAAAGCTTTATTGCATCTAAGTGTGAAGCAACAATAAAAGTTATTTCCAGCAGGTGAAGAGCCTGCGAAAAAACTGATTTATGGCTTGTGGTCCCAGAGAACCTGGGGCTGTGCTGTTAAATGGATAGATTAAATCGGAATGGGGTGGGTGGATTATATATACATATAAAAAGGAACAGAAAGCCCCATTTAATAAACTCTGTCTGATACTGGGAGGAGACACTCTTAAAGCAGAGGCATAGGTCACAGACTAGTATACAGAAATACATAGTATCACTCCTCAGCCAAGTTTAAAAACACACACACAGATAACATTACCTGTTCACTGCTAGAGATGTCCCTAGCCAAGCAAGAATTGAAGAGATGTTTAAATACTTCATGGGTAAAGAATGAAAAACTATTTAAATATTCCTAGGAACTACACAGTTTAATTGTACACCCGATGGCCGGCATGTTTCACGCCTCGGAGATCTCAGACTTGCTGAGTGCAATGGCGAGGTCCAGGTCTTCCTGCTCCTGCTGCTTTAGTCTCTGCAGCCTCTCTTGTTCCTCCCGCTGGCTCTCCCTCTTCGCCCATTCGATCATATCGTCCTCAGATTGGTACTGCAGATTTCAAGAAAGACATGCACTGGCTGAGCAAGTCACAAAAACACGAAACAGAGAATTGAGGAGACATCCACGTAACAGCAGAAATTGGTTTTCTGTCAGGAGCACCATGCTCATATACGTAAATTCACACACACAGGAAAAAAAAAAAAGAAAAGTGAAAAAATGTTTTAGACATAGCAGTTGTGTTTTCTTGCATTCTCAATCCAGCTCTAATAAAATGAGGAGTAAAGAAGATTTTCATGCAGTGTTTACATGGTTACAATGGTCTAGCTTGGGCTAATATAACTAGCACATACCATACCTGTTAGATGTCTCTAGAAGCTGGAAGTCACTGTAGCAGACACCATTACTCCAGTGATCTCCACTAGCTTCCACGTCCTGTGCTGAGCGGCTGCCCTGCTACACTTTAAACATAGGAGGTAGACTGCTCAGCTCAGACACCTTTCAGAGAATGATTTGTATTTTCTCAATGAATGGAAGGTATTCTCTGATTGAACTAGGACAGTGTGATGTCACTGTCCCACCTCATCCAATCAAAGAATGTCTTCAATTAAGCCCCACATGGGCAAAAAGCATTAGCGGATTCCTACATGGGTGGTAAACGAGAGCTGAAGCCATTTACATTCATTTAGTTTAATAAGTTCACAGTGTGCCGGCTTTGAGTGCAAACAGGTGCCATTTTCTAGTATTCTCTGAATGCTGCCTATACCCAGCAGCCAATTTCCTGATTTTCACAATGCAGCAGGGCAGCTGTTGGCATGGGACCCGGACGCTAGTAAGGATCACTGTAGTAGCAGTGCCTACTAATGCGATTTCCAGCTTCTAGAGGCATCCCACAGGTACAGTATATGCATAGATACATTGGTTGAAGCTGGACCAGGGTAACATACCTTGAATTATTTCTGAACCTGAATCTGTACTGCAGCCAAGTTGTAGAATAATAGTGACCTATCCTTATGAAATTTTTAAGTGCCTAGCTATCATTCTTATCTTTTAGCCACTGACCCATGACAAGCACAAAAAGTAGTTCAAACTTCAGTTAGGCTTTATATACTACATGCCTTGTCCAAGTCAGTAACTCAAAGCATCAAAACTGTGGTGGCCAGGTATCTGTGAAGGTGGTCATTAATGGTAGCTCCCATGGACTGTACATCTCCTAAAACAGTTTGCATGTTATAAACAAGTCCTGTAGCACTCACACACAAACCCTTTAAGCAAACATGAATGTAAAAGAAATAAATGGCATGTGTAAGAATAAAACAAGACACTCACTCTATATTGCCAGCTGCATGTTGCTTCTGAGCTGTGTTGCTAATGCAGTGCAAGCACATGTGTGTCTAAGGACAGGTACAATCGGAGCAGGGCAAGGAAGAGGAGCACTGATCAATTTAACACAAACAGACTGGGCTCTAGCCACTGGAAACCAGCCTGTATATATTAAATAAAATCCAATGACAGTGCACACTCCACAGCAATAACCCTGTACTGATGACGTCACCTCTTTCCTATACTGACATGTTTCAAGTGCAGACCACCAAGCTTTCTCAAGGACCTTTCAGAGCTTTAGTGCCAAATGGGAACCACCATACTTAGGCATGCATTATTTCTTATTATTTCATTATATGTACTGTATACCATACTAATCTTGATAATATACCATGAGCTCCATATATCATTTTTAGCAGGGGCTCCTCAAGACCAGATTATTATTTTTAAGAGTTCCTTTGGTGTGAAAAGGTTGAGAAAGGCTGGTTTAGAGAAACAGTTCCACCTTGACTAGCATACAGCACAATTGCTTCCTTCAGGGACTTCTTGAACGCCATTAAAAAAACAATATAAATATATTAAATAACTGCCTTTTACTTGCATCTTCTGTTTCAGAGCCCCCATTTTACAGAACAAACAGTTTAGGTCTGTAACAGGAAATTAGGCCTGATAGTGAAAATCCTCGGTGGTACTGATAATGCTTAGTTATTAGAAAAATTTCTGTTACACCAGTGAAGACAGCTTCTCTCAAATGTTGCTGTTATAACAAGTCCTTAGCAGCTCATATAAAAGAAAAAAAAAATCCACACTTAATGTAGAACTAAATGGAGTAAGGGAGGGCTATGACCTCTGTCAGTTTTTTTTTTGCCATATGTGTCCCATAGGGGAGATTTTCCTTCACTTCTTGTCTCAGCCAAAACAGAAAGCGAGAGGAAATCTCTCCAAAGTGAAGAAGTCCTGGTGTCACCATAACTAGTTTGCCCAGTGGAAGATTTTCCTCTATTACTGTTCTGGTGTCAACCCAAAATTTAGGATTTTATTTTACTTTTATTTTCCATAATGGTAAACAGGGTTAGAGAGGGCAAATTGCACTAATTGAAGCACCAACAACAATAAAAACCTCATAGGTATTCTAATCCCTGTCCTTATTATACAAAACTAAAGTGAAGAAGTCCTGGTGTCACCATAATTAGTTTGCCCATTGGAAGATTTCCCTCTATTACTGTTCTGGTATCAACTTAAAATTTGGGATTTTTACTTTTATTTTCCATAATGGTAAACAGGAAAAATAGAGAGGGTAAACCGCCCTAATGGAAGTGCCAACAACAATAAAAACCTGATAGGTATTCTAATCCTTGTCCTTACTATCCAAAACAAAAAAAAAAAAAAGTTTTTTTTTTTTTGTGCAAGTAATATGATTTTCTGTTAAATCTGTAATTTTCATATTTCTGCTATGTGCTGCCTTCAACACCCAATCAACATATGGTTTTCATTTTGCTAAAGCCGATTAAAAATAAACCTAGCCTAAACAGTTTAATTTGATACTCAAATCAACCGTTCCGCACCTGGCTTTCAACAGCTAAGCTGGTAAAGCGAGTAGCTGTATATCTGAGTGGAAGACCAGGCCTTGGAAAGAAAGATCCGATCAGGGTGGAGAGGAAGGAAGCATGGTGCATCTTTGACTAACTGAATGGGATCCATGAACCAGACCCTGTGCACAAGTGACCAGAATGCCCTCCTGCTCTATTCTTGGTGGTAACCGGTGAACGAACTTGGGGGGTTCATACAACAGGATGTACTAGTGCCAGGGAGCCACCAGAGTTTCTGATGCATCTCTCAGAGATCCCTTGATCTGGCCCCAAACTTGGGAACCTTTAGGTCTGGGTGCAAAAGATCTATGTCTTGAATGCCCCCAACATTGCCAAATTTGGAGAAACTGCCACACCCACCCAGTCTTTTTTTTTATACCTTAGTATTGTTCTATTATTGCTGGCTACTGACTGTTGTGTGTTGCAGATGGGGGGTTAGGCCACCTCCAGAGGGCCGCCCCTTGGGCTTACTTTTAGTTTTACCTGCACCAAGAAGAATTGCTGAGTCTTTCAATGAATGGAAGAGAAAAATGTTTTATCAGAGAAGTCCAAGATAACAAGCAAACTCATTTTCTGGACTGCTTCATCAGGGCTCAAAATGCCATTTGTGATACAATACAATGGTGGGCTCAAATTAACCAAATAACTTTGGAATAAAATAGCTCCTTATTAAGGGCTCATGTTAAGAATTTTTTCCAGCATTTCATTGCACATCATACACTGGTCATCAAAATCCTATCAACTTCAATTAAGCAGTAAACATGGCAGTTCAGAAAATTGTTTGACCTGCATTGCCTGGTGCTTCTTTGGATACAGCATGACCTATTGAGTTGCCTGAACTGCAGACAAAGAAGGTAAAACAGAATTTTCTTGCAAAATAGTGCATTTGTTATTCAAACACATGCATATGCTTACAACTAACAAATGCAACATTTGAAAAAAACAAACAAATGGTAGTTGACACAAGGCCTAATGACTGAGCTTTACAAGCTGGTTGTTTTTGCTAAAAACAATTTAATTGTTTCATCATCATTTTCAACCTTAATAAAAAGGGGTATTTCATAGCTTCTGAAACACATTGGCTTTTTATTTTGGATGAATATCAATAAATATTTTCTGAGTTTAAAACCATTGGTGTGCTCCTGTCTTCCTATACTAGGTATGTTTTTTCTGTGTTATGCCCTATCTCTGAAGCTATTGGAATAGTTTCCCCCACGTCCTATGAGATGCTGTACATTCTTTCCTGTGAGATCACAGACAGTATTTCAAACTTTTTTCAGAGTTTGGAAGCATTAAAAGGCACTTTAAAGTTTTTTTTATAAACACGTTAGAGATCAGCTTAATATACATAATCCTAAAGCATATGTCTTCAAAACTATTTCCTCATTTGCTCCTTAAAAATACAGGCTACAGTTTTGATCTACTGCTTTTTCTCGTAAAGCAACCTACGAACCTTCGGACTCATTAAAAACAATGAACTTCTTGCATGGCCGATAATTTCAACAGCTATTAAGAATTTGCAGTCAACCCTGCAGCCCCCAGAGGATAATTTACAAATCTCTGCCAATAGAACAAGCGAAGGTATTGAAAAGCAAGCATGTAAAAAATGTGAAAGTCACAAAAAATTGTTTAAGCCCTGGTTCACACTGATGCGGTTTGAAATTTGCAGCGTATTCTGTGCAAATTCTGCACAGCATCAGAATCGCACCCCGTTCATGCGAACTGCTGCGCGTATGTTAACAACTCCCGGAAAGCGATCCGCAAAATGCGGTGCGATGTGCAGAATCAGATCGCATAGGTGTGAATACCCATGCGATCCAATTCTAGTGCGGTCCCAAAATAGGGTCTTGCATCGGGTGCGGTGCGATTAGAGCCATACAAAATGTATGGCTTCAACCGCACTGCGGACAAATCAGGTGATTTGCACACGAATGCAGTGCGGTTCCTATGCAAATCACATGCGATATACCGCACCGCATATATGTGAACCCAGGCTCAAAAAAAATGCTGCAGCAATGTCAAAATGCATGCCCATTGAAAGTACACTATAATCTCCCTTGAACATTTTGTTTGTGGTTGCTGATCAACGTTCAAAGATGTCTGAAGTGGCTAGATGGAGACAATGATAATGTTTTGATTCAATGGTAAAAATACAGATCAATAAATTAATTTAGATTTTCTATAATCATAATTTAAAACTAAAATATTATTTCTTTGGAAATGGATCTGTTATGCCAAAAAAACTATTAAAGCATATGTCAAGACCAAACTGTTTTATTAGGTTGGATTGAACAGGACAGGATCAGAACCCCTGTCAACTGTTTATTGCAGTCTAGGGCTCTGTTAAAAAAATTTACTCCTCTCCAACAGCAACACAGACAGGAATAAAAATTATTTTTCCCTTAGACAGATACAAAAATCTGATTACTTCTGTTATGTACTTGTTGAACATTTCCCATAACTTCCTGTGTTTGGAACTTTGGAAACTATTGTCAGCATGGCAGGAAGTGAGCTCTAATGGAGCTCAGATATCAGCAAGAGCCCAACAGTAGTTCTAATCCTATCCCATGCTTTTCAAACCTAGAAAATAGTTTTTGGCTTGACATACACTTTAAAGCTAAAGTTTAGTTACCCTACCTACCGCCAATGAAGTGTGTCCCAGTGCTGTGGCTGCTTTTACAACAGAAATCTTCCATCCTCTGCCCCAAAACAGTGACATTTTGATGCTGCAGGGGTTAATATCTTTCAGTGGCTGCCCCTGTGACAGGTACTCATCAAAACGCCGATTATGCCTGCCCTTTCCATCGCCGTACTCCATTCACAGCGCTTGTACTACAGGCTTCCAAAATGCAAAGCATTCCATGACTGGACAACAGGAAGAAAACTGAAACTGCCCCCTCCAATCACAGTACGCTTTGCATTGCGTGAACTTGTAGCACAGCTTTAAAATGTGTAAGGCCGTCATGAAATGTATAATATTTTGCCAGTGGGTTTATTTTTTTAAACCCTAAAGGGTCTTTCACAAGGGCGTTCTGTATGTCGGTTTTTTTATCTGTCCGTTTACAGATGAAAAACGGACACCCATGTATTTCTATGGACTAGCCAATGTAAGTGGATATTCATCCATTTACATCAGTTATTGTCCACATCTGTTAACATCCGTTTTTTTGAACGGAAGAAAACCCTATTTTTCTTCTGTAAAAAAAAAAAATGGAACGGACGAAAAACAGATGTAAAACAGACATACGGTCCGTTTTTGCATTGGTTAATGATGTAGAAAAATGGATGTAAACTGATGAAAAACTGTTGTGAACGGATTCGTTTTTTTTCTTGGGAAAACCGTGACTGAACTCATGAAAAAAAAACGGAATGCCCATGTGAAAGGACCCTTACAAATAAACTTTTCCTATTGTCTCCGTTTGGTCTACTAAATATACAATTGTAAGCATTTTGTTACATCTGTTTGATACGCAGAAAAAATATCTGCTGATCCTGCCAGAAATCTTGTGACCTGAGAACATTTCTGTGCTCTCTGCCTGCGTTACATGGTTATCAGTTATACAATTCTGAGCAATACAGGACTCCACCTATATAATGTGAAAAGAGACAGGAGCAGTTCCATGCAGTCGTGTGCTGTTTGTGTTGTCCTGATACAGAAGAGTGATTAAGGGTTGTCATCCTGGAAGTGTGCTACTGGCAGAGTCACCAGGAGAAAATAAAGGAAAATAAGAAAACTAATGCAGCCACCACAACTAAGGACTGGCAAGCTTCAATATATAACATTTTTTGCTTTAAGGTTTAGATATACTTCAATTTAACAAGAAAACCATATTCACTTTTGAAGCTACTTCATGATTGGCTGCTAGTGATCATCTGAAAAATTCAATGCTAAAGTCAAAGCGGTCTTCTTTCTGCAGCTTCTCGCTACCTGTTGCCCTATATATATTTGTATTTTTGTACAATTTTTTGGCACTGGACTAAAGGCAAGTGCTGTACACAAATAATTCATTTATAGATCCTAGAAATGAATTAATCAGATGTTAGGAGCAATGATTTGTTCTTATAAAAAGGGACACGTATACTGTAGCCTCAGGGCCATGCCAGACGAGCTTCCAACACAATGTTCAACTTGCTGGACAAAATCAATGTGTCAAGCTGCATCATCACGACATAAAAAAAATGTATTGCTTCATTGTTGCACAAACACAGAAAAAGACTGATTCAATCAAAAATCTGAACAGGGAGAGGGCAGGGGGGGGGGGGCAGGGGGGGGGAGGGGAGAGGGGGGGGGGGGAGAAAGGGGCGGGGCGGGGGGGGGAGAAAGAGGGCGGGGGGGAGAGAAAGAGGGCGGGGGGGAGAGAAAGAGGCAGGGGGGGGGGAGGGGGGGGGGGAGAAAGAGGGCGGGGGGGGAGAAAGAGAGGGGGGGGGGAGAAAGGGCGGGGGGGGAGAAAGAGAGGGCGGGGGGGGGAGGGCAGAGAGGGGGGGGGAGAGAAAGACGGCAGAGAGGGGGGGGGGAAAGAAAGAAGGGGGGGGGAAGAGGGAGAGGGGGGGGGGGGAAGAGGGCAGAGAGGGGGGGGGGAAGAGGGCAGAGAGGGGGGGGGGAAGAGGGCAGAGAGGGGGGGGGGAAGAGGGCAGAGAGGGGGGGGGAAGAGGGCAGAGAGGGGGGGGGAAGAGGGCAGAGAGAGAGGGGGGGGGGAAGAGGGCAGGGAGAGGGGGGGGGGGAGAGAGGGCAGAGAGGGGGGGGGGAGAGAGGGCAGAGAGAGAGGGGGGGGGAGGAAGAGGGCAGAGAGAGGGGGGGGGAAGAGGGCAGAGAGAGAGGGATGGGGGGAAGAGGGCAGAGAGAGAGGGAGGGGGGAGAGAGAGGGCAGAGAGAGGAGAGAGAGAGGGATGGGAGAGAGGGAGAGAGAGAGGGCAGAGAGGAGAGAGAGAGAGGGAGAGGGAGAGAGAGAGAGAGGGCAGAGAGAGAGAGAGAGGGCAGAGAGAGAGAGAGAGAGGGAGAGAGAGAGCAGAGAGAGAGGCAGAGAGAGAGAGAGAGGGCAGAGAGAGAAAGAGAGAGAGGGGAGAGAGAAGAGAGAGAGAGAGGGCAGAGAGAGAGAGAGGGCAGAGAGAGAGAGAGAGAGAGAGAGGGCAGAGAGAGAGAGGGGGGGCAGAGAGAGAGGGGGCAGAGAGGGCAGAGAGAGAGAGGGGCAGAGAGGGCAGAGAGAGAGGGGGCAGAGAGGGCAGAGAGAGAGGGGGCAGAGAGAGGGCAGAGAGAGAGAGGGCAGAGAGAGGGCAGAGAGAGAGAGAGGGCAGAGAGAGAGAGGGCAGAGAGAGAGAGAGAGTGGTGAGGAGGGCAGAGAGAGAGCAGAGAGAGAGAGAGAGAGGGCAGAGAGAGAGGAGGGCTGAGAGAGAGAGAGAGAGAGAGAGAGAGAGAGCAGAGAGAGAGAGAGAGAGAGAGAGAGAGAGAGGGCAGAGAGAGAGAGAGAGAGGGCAGAGAGAGGGTAGTGGGCAGAGAGAGAGAGGGCAGAGAGAGACAGAGGGGGGCTGTCACCAAGTGTTCCGGTACCGGGTGGCACCAACCCTAGGGATGCCTCTGAGATACCATGTATGTATTTTATATGTGTATTTCACAGTCTGCCTGGAATTTAGTTTTAAGCAATTAAAGAAAGTTGATAAAAATTACCAAAAAAAAAAAAAGTATGCATGTGATTTTAGTAATGATTGCCATAGCGTATTTGCAGTGAAGTAAATACTGTGCAGCACAAGGTGACATACGAGATAGCTTGCCAGGAGCATTGCTATTCAGTGAAATGTTAATCACCACTCAATAAAGGATATGAAAAAAAGAAGCAATCATCAACAAAAAGGCATAATTGACATCATGTTTTACTTCAAATCAGTTAAAAGAACGGTACAAGTAGTGTCAAAGCCACAATAAAAACAGCACAGGATTTATGATACAAAGGAACTACATAATGCCTGCCCCCACTGGGTGGTTTCGGGGGATGAGAGGGTCATGCCAGCCTCTTGGCTCAGTTTGTACTTACAGTGTTAAAGCTACTGAGGCTGCTGGAATTGTCTCCCACTTTGCAAGCAGTGAAAGGTTCAGATTCCACCTGTTTGGGGAAGCTGAGATTGAACTGCTGGAAAGGATCTCCATGCTTGAACAAGTCTTCTGGCCTTGAGGGAGGCCGCTGGCCTGAAAAAGGAATAACACACAAATTCTTAACATTACAGCTTATTGGTATCCACGTTTTAAACTAAAAATATCAATATGTAACACCTGGACAAATACCAGATGTTCCCAAGATGCATGAAACAAATGTTGCAAGTACAACTTGAAATACTTAAATTGAGCATAAAATGCATAGAATCTAATAAAGCACATACACCTACAGGTGGCAGTGTTGTCCAAACTTTGCGTTTGAGGAAAACGTTACATAAAATAGTAATGCAAAACAAGATCCATGCAGACTCTCCTCTCCCATCAGGTCCTACACAACTAACACCAAAATCAAAGTAGTGATAGGGCAACTTCACTGCCCCTGAGTGGCCTGGGTCCAGCTCTCATTGCTCAGCACCATAGTTGGATTCAAACTCCTTTGGATGGCTAGTAGCTGTCATGAGCAAAGACTAACTCGAAAGAGCAGGGCCCTCGAACCCCTCGTGTATTGTATTGTTACTGTCTTGTCACATGTTATGTCCCCCTGCTACTGTACAGCGCTGAGCATACCCTTTGGCGCTATATAAATACTGTATAATAACAATAACAACTATATAGTAATAAATGGGCTTAGCAACACACATGTGCAATAGGAGTTGGATGTGGCTGGAAATTCTCTCAGCAAAAGCTGTGTGGTGATGGCCAGGGTCACACAGTGAAGGACCTAACAGCAAAGCTGAAGGTATTAATGCTAGGTGGCTGCAATGTGGGATTGCTGGGACATTTAAAGGACGTCATCAAGGGCTGATTTAGACTTCTCTATTGCAGTGCATTTTGAATGATACAACAAACGCACAAAAACAATGTAGCTCTAACGTAGGTGCGTTGCAACGCACTACAATGTACAATAACACACTCATTGGGTTGTTGTGTACTGCATTATAAAAAAAAAAAAAAAAAAAAAAAGCTTTTCTGTGTTTTTGGCTGTTTTGGTGCATTGCCAGTCCATTGAATGGGCTGCCTTAACACAACACACCACTCAACAACGCCAAGGGGTGAAGTTGTACTTCAAAGCCAAATTTTAGACCAAACTTTTTATTTTTAATTGTTTAGAGTGGGGAAGGATTAGAGATGTAAAATTTCCAGAAATTGTAAACCATGGGAGAAAAATGTTTTGTTTTTGTTTTTTCCGGAAAAAATGGCAATTTTCACAAAAAAAAAAAAAAAAATTCAGTGTTGAGTAGTTTTACAAACTTGAAGTAATTTTGTTACACTGAGAATGTGACATGCAGTGTATATAAAAGTATTATGCTTGAAATGAAAGTACAGCTTATTCAGTAAATAAATTAAACTTGCTTTTTAAAATTTGTGATGATCCAGAAGCAGCAGAAAGTTTCTGGAATGAGAACTCTGGAGGGAAAAGCTACTTGCACTTTCATTATGGTCTTCATCATTTAATTCCATAATGTACTTTTTAATGCCTTTAGGGTACCTCTGGCATGCCAGGATATGTTTTGTCATCCTCGTAGCATTTGGAAAAGAATATCTCTTTGCACAATATTTGCAAATTGCACTGTGGAACTGTTTCCAAATCCTAGATGCTGGTCTCACCATTTTACTGATAAGAGGAAAAGAAAAAATGTACTGACCAGACTATAGGTAAACATTATGCTGTGATGATGGAGAAAAGTCATAGGAATAATTTAAAGGTTATAAGAATAAACTAATTAGTCAGACAAATGTACCCTCTTACCTGTCAATTAGGGCCAGAAAGGACAAACACATCACCCAACTGTAGGAGGTACAAGATGGAGCCCACAAGCAAACAAAACTAGAGACTTTCCCTGCAGTGCCCCCCTAGTGGCAGAAATGCATATTTCTCTTGTTTAAGAACTGCATTGAGAAGTACAGTAGTACTTGAATTGTATTCCAGGATTTGCTGGTCTTCAGCTGAGAGAACATGCAATCAATTAAGACTTTACATAAAGTCTCAGAAATGATACATATTTTGAATACAATGTCATAGATACATTATTTAGTATTGTAAAAGAAAATATTCCATACTCCTTTTTTTTTTTGCCAAGTTTTTCCAGAAAAAAAAAAAAAAAACAGCTTTTTTTGTGTTTGTTCCAGGTCATCCCATCTCTAGTCAGGTTTTTATTAATGTCTGTCCCTTCCAGGTAGATTTCACCTAGCTTCCTAGTATACAAAAGATTAGAACCTCTGACAACAGCTGTCTGTGCTTTCCCGTCCTGATGAAAACTGCACACCCCATTTCTCATGAGCATAACAGAGACTGAAAATTAAGAAAAAATGTCTTCAATTTGGGTCATAGGCAGAAATAAAAGCATATCAGAAACTTAAATTTTTCTCCACTGTAAAAAAAATGCCAGATGGATAGGTAGATAAGTCATGAATCCTGTAAGTTAGGCTGACATTGCTGACCTGCATCTGATAATGCTAGTCTGGTTCAATTCTATAATTGGTCGCAGTCACTGACTCAATTGAAGTCAACACATAAGGACAGGAAGACAATGTAGAGCCTATTTCTCTCATGACAGATCTTTTTCATAAAAACGGGCATTCAGATCTTTTTTTTACAAATACAAATCTGAATGCAGCAGTATTGAATGCTATGTGCACATTCACACAGCTGCATTTAGTCTGTAGTGTTTAACTGCATAAACCAAAACAAGAAAAATCTTTGTCCACAGTCTGACTTTCAGCATATTTTAAGCGGTGCAAACCATACATGCCTCCTAGCGAAATCAAGGCTAGGGAGAGATGTAAACATACACAATGACAACATAACATCTCAAACACAGGTCACAAACGCAGTGTATTTGCCTGCACCAGTTCACTATATGAACCACTGTTGTATTTATACATGTTGATCATATCTCCCCCTTAATCTCCTCTTCTCAAGAGAAAAGAAATTCAATTCCTTTAATCTTTCCTCATAGCTGAGCTCCTCCATGCCTCGTATAAGTTTGGTTGCCCTTCTCTGCACTTTCTCCAGTTCCCCAATGTTCTTTTTGCGAATTGGTGCCCAAAATTGAACTGCATATTCCAGATGAGGTGTTACTAATGATTTGTACCGGGGTAATACGATATCTCTCTCTCTGGAGTCTATACCTCTTTTAATACAAGAGAGGATTTTGCTCACTTTAGAAATTGCAGCTTGGCATTGCATGCCATTATTAAGCTTGTGATCTACCAGAACTCCCAGATCCTTCTCCACCATGGATTCCCCCAGTTGTACCCCCCCCCCCCCCCCCCCCAGCATGTATGATGCATGCATATTCCTAGCCCCCAAGTGCATAACCTTACATTTATCAACATTAAACCTCATTTGCCACATAGATGCCCAATTACACAGTGCATTGAGGTCGGCTTGTAAATTGAAGACATCCTGTAAGGACATTATTCCACTGCACAGGTGGGGTGTCATCTGCAAAGACTGAAATTGTACTTATAATCCCAGACCCTATATCATTTATAAATATATTAAAAAGTGAAGGTCCCAACACTGAACCCTGGGGTACACCACTGACAACCCTAGACCATTCAGAGTATGAATCATTAACCACTACTTTCTGAATTCAGTATCTTAGCCAGTTTCCTATCCATTTATATATGGATTTTTACAAGCCCGTAGACTTTACCTTACCCATTAGCCGTGTGTGGGGAACTGTGTCAAACGCTTTTGCAAAATCCAAGTATACCACGTCCCCCGCCACCCCTCTGTCCAAGTATATACCACGTCCCCCGCCACCCCTCTGTCCAAGGCTTTGCTCACTTCCTCATAAAAAATAATCAGATTTGTTTGACAACTTTTTGGTCTTTTATTAAACTCTCCAGTATCTTCCCAACTTTAGAAGTTAAACTAACAGGTCTATAATTACTTGGTAATGATTTTGACCCCTTATTAAATATAAGCACCACATTGGCCTTACGCCAATCCAGTGGTACTATGCCAGTCATGAAAGAATCCTTAAAAATTAGAAACAATGGCTTTGAAATAACAGAGCTCAATTCTTTAAGGACCCGTGGGTGTCTGTGCCACGTACTTTATTAACCTTTATTCTGTCTAAATATTTCTGGATCATATCAATTGTGAGCCAATGTGGATCATCTGGAGCTGTGTCAATACCATGCCAATTATAGACAAGAGCTCCCCCATGCTCCTTTGTATATACAGAGCTGAAGAAGCTATTTAATAAATTTGCCTTCTCTTTGTCCCCAGTCACCCACTCTACATTATTTTGTAAAGGGACTACATGCTCGGACCAGACCTTTTTACTATTAATATATTTGAAGAATTTTTTGGGGTTTTTTGGGGTTCTCTCTTTTTCAATCTGTCGCTCGTTTTCAATTTTTGCTGCCTTTATTTCCTTTTTACACATTCTTTGTAACGTTTAAACGATGATAGCGTTCCTTCATTTTTATATATAAGCTCTTTTCTTATTATTTATAGCTTTTTTTTAACTTTGGCCGTAAGCCACATAGGTTTAATTTTTAGCCTTTTAAACTTGTTGCCTATGGGAACATATTTTGCAGTGTGTTCACATACAGTCTTTTTGAACCCCATTTCTGTTCTGTGTTCATCAATGCCAATATTCCCTCCCAGTCTAAGTCTTGGATAGCAACATTAAGCCTTGGAAAATTAGCTCTCTTAAAGTTGAGTTTTTATTTTTCCCATATGTGCTTCTTTACAGCTAACAATAAATGAAATCATGTTATGGTCAATGCTACCCAGATGATCTTTTATATGGACATTATTAATAAGCTCTGCATGGTTTGAGATTACCAGGTCCAGCAGAGCATTATTCTTAGTTGGGGCCTTAATGAACTGTACCATAAAATTGTCCTGTAGTAGGTTTATAAATGTTTGCCCTTTAACGTTTTTTGCAGTGCCATTTCTCCAGTCAATTTCTGGGTGGTTAAAATCTCCCATTATTATCACTGTCCCAGCCCTTGCAGCCCTTTCCATCTGTGCAAGGAGCTGATTCTCCACCTCTTCATTAACATTAAGTGGCCAATAACAAACTCCAACGATTACCTTTGTAGTATGTACCCCCATGTGCAGTTCCACCCATAATGCTTCAGTCTCATCACACTCACCATCAACTAGGTCCTCTTTCACACTCGCTTCCTATCCCAAACAATTCCTCTGGCAGTTGTGGCTGCAATCTTTCTTGGTCGATCTGACCTTGGCTTCGTATCAAGAGATCCCCAAATTTTCCACTTCTTAATAATTTACTGAACTTTTCCTTTGGGAATCTGATAGAGACCTCAGTTATGCTCAACTGCTGCAGCTGCAGGGCAATTATAATGGCAAAATTCAAAGTCATACGACCCTCTGATAGTCACTCCATAATATAGGACATGAATAAAATTGGTAAATCAAGCAGCAGGCTAGTACTGGATTCAACCATAGGTTCCTAACAGGAACTTTAGTTGGAGGAAGTTGGTCTTTTTGAGTGCCACAGCACAGAACGATTATTGAGTAGAACATTTTAAATGAGACTATTATAAGGCCATGTATGGGTTACAGTGAAAGTACATATGTCTGGTATAATGAAGTACGCATGTTAGGGGCTAGAGCCAAATAAATACAATATCAGTGTGGCAGAGTGTACATCTGCCTAGGTGCTTATTAAAACACAGCTGTCAGTCGTGTGTAGGGTGTGGGTCATGTACCTGGAGGAGGAGGGCATGGCCGAGTAGGAGTTCCAGTCTTCGGTGGCAGTGCAGGAGGCGTCTCTGTCTGTAGGGTTTCTGTTTCAAAAGTGCCTTTATTGTTTAGTGTCTCTTTTTCTTTAAGGGGTAAGGTGCCATCAGCAGAGTCTGTGTCATTGTTCTGCTTAAAAAAAAAAAAAGCCAAAACATGGTTAAAGTTCACCTGACGTCCTAGAGGAAACAATATGCTATGAAAAAGATAAGAAAAAACATCAATGCCCCCCTGCATCTTTTAATTTTATAAGAATTAAAGCATATGTAAACTTTGTCAACCAGCTTTCCCCATTTACTCCTTTTTGGTTAGGTATGCCATTAAAAACATTTTGAAACCTGTGTGATAAGTGCAAAAAAAAAGTTGACCTTCTCAGAAATGTAGAGCTGTCCTGTATCCTCTGCCACATCCTAGGCTTTTTTTTTTAATTCATATTTTTTACTACAGAATGGTTGGCCTTTATGTTAAGATCTGAGAACAGAAATAGCAGAGTAGTTTAACAAAACGCAGGGTTGACAAAACTCAGCCCACAACAGGGCTTAGGAGCCGACTGCATTTCTGGCAGGGCAGTCAGCAGGTATTTTTCTGTACCTGAAGGGTCTTTAAAAGATTCAAACATGGACAAGCGTGCAAGTACTGCAGATATGTACCACATATTTTATTTTAAGTGGCCAATGTTTTAATGTTGCCCTGACACACACATTAAGTACATTTTGAGTGATATTAAGTGCCATCAACTGAACTAGTTCAGCCCAATAGCTTTGCATATAGCTACTGAATGGGAGGGAACTACTGTTGAGAGAGCGGTCTCTTGTTGCTGGCTGCTAGGAGATCTGCTGCTGCTGGAGTGGTATTTTGTTGTGGGGAGGTCCATTGTTGCTGGGGGAAGTCTCTATTGTTGTGAGTGGGGGGGTCTACTGTTGCTCACTGCAGGGGGGTATATTTTACTGTCTTTCTTATAATGAACAAATTCCATATAAATTACTTAGTAGCACACAATTATACTTGGTTCTGTATTCTCTAAAAGGGGCGGTACTGGGAGGTGGGTAGGGGATGGAACCAAAAGAGAGTGTTCAGAGCTGGGTAGGGGGTGGAACCAAGAGAAACTGCTCAAAGGTGGGTAGGGGGTGGAACCAAGGGACAGTGCTAAGAGATGGGTAGGGGGTAGAACCAAAAGACAGTGCTCAGAGGTGGGTAGGGGGTAGAACCAAGAGAAAGTGCTCAGAGGTGGGTAGGGGGTAGAACCAAGAGACAGTGCTCAGAGGTGGGTAGGGGGTAGAACAAAGACAGTGCTCATAGGTGGGAAGGGGGTAGAACAAAGAGACAGTGCTCATAGGTGGGAAGGGGGTGGAACCAAGGGACAATGTTTAGAGCTGGGTAGGGGGTGGAACCAATAGAAAGTGCTCAGAGGTGGGTAGGGGGTGGAACCAATAGAAAGTGCTCAGAGGTGGGTAGGGGGTAGAACAAAGACAGTGCTCATAGGTGGGAAGGGGGTAGAACAAAGAGACAGTGCTCATAGGTGGGAAGGGGGTAGAACAAAGAGACAGTGCTCATAGGTGGGAAGGGGGTGGAACCAAGGGACAATGTTTTAGAGCTGGGTAGGGGGTGGAACCAATAGAAAGTGCTCAGAGGTGGGTAGGGGGTGGAACCAAGGGACAGTGCTCAGAGGTGGGTAGAACCAAGAGACAGTGCTCAGAGGTGGGAAGGGGGTAGAACCAAGAGATAGTGCTCAGAGGTGGGTAGGGGGTAGAACAAAGAGACAGCTGTGTGTAGGGGGTAGAACAAAGAGACAGCTGTGTGTAGGGGGTAAAACAAAGAGACAGTGCTCATTGGTGGGTAGGGGGTGGAACCAAGGGACAGTGTTCTGAGATGGGTAGGGGGTGGAAACAAGAGATGGCGCTCAGAGGTGGGTAGGGGGCAGAGACAAAGGGTGACTCAGGAGGGAGTTCCTGCATCTATTCTCTGAGAAAAAAAGCTCTGATATATACACACACATATACATACCATACTTTTCCAGATACGATACCTTAGAAAGTGTGCTGAAGTCAGCAAATCCGCTTCCAAAAGACTCATTACCAAAAAATGAAGCAAATGGGTCATCACTCCCTAGAGAATCAGATAGAGGAAATTGCATAACAGGATGTTACTTTGATGCTACAATACAAATTACAGGATTATGAAACAATCAGTAATAATCACCTACAAATATCACTTACCAGACTGACTGGCTGCTTGGACAAAAGTTCCTCCAGGGGCAAATGGGTCATTGCTATTCAGAGCCTCCACCTGGAATTTAAAAAAAAAAAAAAAAAAGTACAGTCTTTTGACATAACATGTAACAACACGGGACAATTCTCTGCCACCCACAGCCCTTTAACTTATTTTCAAGTGATCCTGCAGCTCTGTGTAAGTGACATGACCGGACTGGAGGGGATTAAAAAAAAATGGAGGTAAGTACACAATTCTTTTTTATACAGATTAGGATCAAGGAAGGGGAGTGAAAATTTTTAAGAATAGCTATATTTATGTTTTTCTACCAATTTACAATTAAAAATGGTCCATTTCACAACTCACTCTTTTAAAGCGTCAAGTTGAACATCTTCAATCATTAGTTCAGCACATTAAGAAGTTACAGCCCTGGCCAAAAGTTTTGAGAATGGCACACAAATATTAATTTTCACAAAGTTTGCTGTCGCAGTTTTTATGATGGCAATTTGCATATACTTCAGAATGTTATGAAGAGTGATCAGATGAATTGCAATTAATTGCAAAGTCCGTCTTTGCCATGAAAATGAACTTAATTCCAAACATTTCCACACTGCCAAAAAAGGACCAGCTGACATCATGTCAGTGATTCCCTTGTTAAAACAGATGTCAGTGTTGATGAGGACAAGGCTAGAGATTACTCTGTCATGCTGACTGAGTTAGAATAACAGCTTGCAAGCTTTAAAAGGAGGGTGGTGCTTGAAATCATTGTTCTTCCTCTGTTAACCATGGTTACCTGCAAGGAAACACATGCAGTCATCATTGCTTTGCACAAGAGAGGATTCACAGGCAAGGATATTGCTGCTACTAAGATTGCACCTAAATCAACCATTTATTGGATCATCAAAAACTTCAAGGAGAGAGGTTCAATTGTTGTGAAGAAGGCTTCAGAGCACCCAAGAAAGTCCAGCAAGCGCCAGGACTGTCTCCTAAAGTTGATTCAGCTGCGGGATCGGGGCACCACCAGTGCAGAGCTTGCTCAGGAATGGCAGCAGACAGGTGAGAGTGCACCTGCACGCAGAGTGAGGTGAAGACTTTTGGAGAATGGCCTATTGTCACGAAGGGCAGGAAAGAAGCCACTTCTCTCCAGGAAAAACAATAAGGACAGACTGATATTCTGCAAAAGGTACAGGGACTGGACTGCTGAGGATTGGGGTAAGTCATTCTCTAGGATGAATCCCCTTTCCGATTGTTTGGGGAATCCGGAAAAACCTTGTCCAGAGAAGACAAGGTGAGCACTACCATCAGTCCTGTGTCATGCCAACAGTAAAGCACCCTGAGACCATTCACATGTGGGGTTGCTTATCAGCCAAGGGAGTGGGATCACTCACAGTTTTGCCTAAAAACACAGCCATGAATAAAGAATGGTACAAAAACATCCCCCGAGAGCAACTTCTCCCAACCATCCAAAAACAGTTTGGTGATGAACAATGCCTTTTCAAGCATGATGGAGCACCTTGCCATAAGGCAAAAGTGATAACTAAGTGGTTTAGGGAACAAAACATTGAAATTTTGGGTCCATAGCCAGGAAACTCCCCCGATCTTAATCCCATTGAGAACTTGTGGTCAATCCTCAAAAGGTGGATAAACTAAAACAACCCCACAAACTCTGACAAACTCCAAGCATTGATCATGCAAGAATGGGCTGCCATCAGTCAGGATGTGGCCCAGAAGTTGATTGACAGCATGCCAAGACGAATACCAGAGGTCTTGAATAAGAAGAGTCAAGACTGCAAATATTGACTGTGCATAAACTTAATGTATTTGTCAATAAAAGCCTTTGATACTTATGAAATGCTTGTACTTATACTTCAGTATGCCATAGTAACTTCTGAAAAAAGATCTAAAAAACACCAAAGCAGCAGACTTTGTGAAAACTAATATTTGTGTCGTTCTCAAAACTTTTGGCCAGGCCTGTACTGTGTTTCTTGCATCATAAATAAATTCACTGATATCGAGAAGAAACTGAAACCCTTCTAATGTTCCTGGAAGCATTTGAGACCACAGAGACTGTACGAAAATAAGCTTTTGTTTTGTGATTCTACTGCTCCACTCCAGCTTGCTCTAGAAAGTTGTCTGTACTGTGAGCCTGGGTTCACATATATGCGGTGCGGTATATTGCATGTGATTCACACACGAACCGCACTGCATTCCTGTGCAAATCACATGCGAATTGTGCGCGGTGCAATTGGAGCCATACATTTTGTATGGCTTCAAGCATCAAAAACATGCAGGACCCTTTTTTTGGTCTGCACTAGAATCGGATCGCATGGATATTCACACCTATGCGATCCGATTCTGCATATCGCGTTTCGTTTTGTGGACAGCTTTCGGGGTGTTGTTAACGTAACATTCACACCCACAGTGGTTCGCACGAACGGGGTGCGATTCTGATGCAGTGCAGAATTCTCACAGAAAATGCTGCGAATTCTGCACCGCATCAGTGTGAACCAGGGCGTAGTGTCCCTGCTGCTAAACCCTCCACTGTGAGCTGCAGTGTTTAAGAGGGAACTTGTGAGACACAAAGGAAGGAGCGATTGGCTCAGTTGGAGAAGGTAAAAGGAATTCTCTAAGTTTATTTTATGAGGTTTGTGCATCACAACTGGCTTGGGTAATAACTGTATCTAGACAGTTACATAGGAACCTTTACTTGTAACGTAACACTAACCTTCATTGCAAACACCTGAACTCAATAAGTTGGAAAGGTGTCCACATAAGCCTGTGTAAAGCTGGCCATGCAAGTGTAGATTTTCAGACAAGAATATTCATAAGAAAAGTTGTACGAAAATTCTTTGAACATTCGATGAATGGACGAATATCGTTTGAAATTGTAAATTGTATTTTGCTTTTAACATTCGATTTTAAATGAATGTCATTTCTGAATGATAACCACAAACACTGGCCGAAAATTTGTTTGATTAAGAAAAGGTTTTCTTCCTTCCCCTTTAAGTTTTCCCTTCACTACTGTCGAATAGGAACATCGATTTGACCCCACTAACGATTAAAAAAATCAAACAAATATTCTTGACATGAAAATCTATATGTGTATGGCCAGCTTAAAGCGGAGTTCCACTCACCCTCAAAAAATGAAAGTCAGAAGCTACAAAAACTGTAGCTGATGACTTTTAAAAAACAGCCACTTACCTGTCCCTCAGTCCCACGGTGTGTCCCCCGCAGCCCATTTCACTGGCCATCATGTATTCCAGGAGGCCGGCATCTTCAGTGTGGGCACCTGGCTGTGACAGCTTGTGGCTTCACAGCCGGGTACCCACTGTGCATGTGCGAGTAGCGCTGCGCTTCATGAATGGTCCTGTAATCTTCTGGGACCTGTCACGTGTCCCAAAAGACTAAAGGGAGGGAGGACACCTTCTGCTTCCGATCGCCTAGGCGATCGGACCAGACGTAGGAGCGGGTACCTGTCAAATTCGGGTACCAGCTCCCCCCGGACCCCTAAAGGTGCCAATCCTTAATGGGGAGCAGTCCTTAAAGCAGAACTTCCCCTTTTGGGTGGAGCTCCGCTTTAAGTAACGTGACCTCACTGGAGGGGATTAAAAATAGTAAAGTTGTAAAGTTTCTGGAAATTTGCTCTGATAACTGCAAGATTAGATTTTGTGGTGAAATGTCTGGTGTATCTTTTGAGCTACAAGCATCATGAGATTGATTATCTCACTTATCAGGACCCCAAGTGTCTGGGTCTGCTCCGTAAACTAAAGATGGCCATAGATGGATCACATTTCTGCAGGTCCCTGCTGAACTATCCATCTACAGGCAGGCTGGTTGTACCGAAGTCGATACATCAATCAACTTGGGTACAACCAGCCTGTCAGATTTTTTTACATGATATTACTGTCGGCGGCTATAGTCCTTGGCAGCAATCATTGTGTTCTGTCGGCAGGGGAAGTCCTTGCCGGCAGAACACAATAGCACTGCGGGAGGGATTTCCCCATCAACACTGTATTGATGGGAGAAACAAGCAATTTTGTTTCCTGCATCCTGCGATTGCAGGAAAGGGAATCGAATCATCTATTGCATTCCTGAAGATGGACATAGATGGATTGGAATTTAGCTGGTTCAACAGGTACCAGACAATTTTCGATCCATGTGTGGCCACTGCAGTTGAACAGAAGTCACTCTACTGATTGACTTCTGTTCAACCCCCCTATCAGATAAAAGATGCTTGATCAGCAAAACCACCCAATGGCTGCAGTACTGATCTGTGTTTTCTGACAGCGGAGGAGCCTCCTCGCTGTCAGAATACAGTAGTACCATGGGGAAGAGTTCAAATATGTTAATAGGGTAATTGATTCAATTTTTTTTTTTTCATTCAGCTTGCTGACCGAACAAAAAAATAAACTGAACCATGTATGACCGGCTTAACGGGGGAGAAAGAGAGGCACTTATGTAGGCCTGTAGTGCACAGGCTGGGTTCAAGGGGTAGGGAAGAAAGTGGCAGAGAACAGCAGCAGTTAAGATCTTGGATTTAGTAATGTACAGATTTCCAACAAATAAAATATCTAACGGTGTCAAATGTGCCATGAAAAGGGTATTATAAAACATCAAAAGTCCCTTATCAACTAAAGTAGCACATCTGCAGAATAGAACTTCCAATACACTGGCCACCTGCACTTACATTCAGTTCAGTGCCACCTCATAGTTAATGATGGTAACAACTAGCTTTGGAAGTGGAGCTACAATGTTGAATGCTACATTTCAGAATACATGTAAGTACATGCTGAATATGCTATGAAATAGCTGGCCTCTTCCACTAAGTACACTACCACTCTCTTCTGTGTTGAGCTAGTGAAAAAAGCTGCATCACTGCCATCCACATGGGGCAATTAGGACGCCAAGTGTGCCCACAGCAGGTAGCAACAACACTTCATACAAGTACTGAAATGCATGAGGAGTGGGCATCCAGTAAAACCACTGTTCAGCTGCCAGTTTTTACTGCTACCCTTTCCCCAGCTGCCTGTGGGAAAGAGGCTTAGAGATGCCTGAATCACTTCCACTAAGAAGCCTATCACCAGCTGAACAAATGTAAATACTCCTGGCTTCTTAAATCCTGTTCTGCTAGCCATCATTTAGAAAAGGTTCTGGCAGACAAGAAGGTAACAAAAACCAAGTCAACACTTTAAGCCTATATTAAACACATACTTCACCACATACCGAGGAGACGCTATTTTCTGAAGCTGCAGCTGAGAAGGGATCCGCTTTTGATGACATGAAAGGATCCTCATTGGAGGAAGTGAAAGGATCAGCTTTAGAAGATGAAAAGGGATCTGTTTTAGATGGCAGAAAGGGATCTACTTTATCTGCTTTTGTGGCTGGGAAAGGATCTGCTTTGGAGGATGAGAATGGATCTGTTGCAGGCTGCTTGAAAAACACATCGGTGGCAAATGGGTCAGAATCTTTAAAAGGATCTCCGCCAAAAGGATCTGTAAATAAAGTGGTAAAAAATTAGTGTTGACAACCTTGCTGGATCTTTAGTTATCATGCAGTAACAGAAGGATTGCCATAAATAGGAATATCATTATACATATAAGAGCTGTCAGGCTAAGGAATAAAGTACAAAACAGGTAAGTTTAAGATGAACTGGAATTCGTTGTAAAGCTAGAATGCATTCACTGCATTAACCACTTGAGCTCCTGAGGATTTACCCCCCTTAATGACCAGGCCTCTTTTTGCTACTTGGCGCTGCACTAATTCAACTGATAATTGTGCGGTCATGCAATGCTGCACCCAAACTAAATTTACGTCCTTTTTTTCACACAAATAGAGCTTCTTTCGGTGTAATTTGATCACCTGTGCGCTTTTTATTTTTCATGCTATAAACAAAAAAACGCCAAACATTTTGAATAAAAACAATATTTTTTATTTTCAGCTATAAAAAATATATAGTAAACTCAAAGTTGGTTATAAATTTAGGCCAAAATGTATTCTGCTCCATGTTTTTGGTAAAAAAAAATCCCAATAAGTGTATATTGATTGCTTTGTGTGAAAGTTATAGCGTCTACAAACTATGGTATAAATACTGCAATTTACGCCATTTTTCTGCTATACAGCGCTGCGCTAGTTTAACGGACAATTGCGCGGTCATGCAATATGGTACATAAATGAAATTTACATCCTTTTTTTCCCCACAAATTGAGCTTTCTTTCGGTGGTATTTGATCGCCTGTGCGGTTTTTATTTTTTGCGCTATAAAAAAAAAAGGCTGACAGTTTTGAGGAAAAAAAAAAACTATATTTTGGACTTTTTGCTATAAAACATGTCCAGTAAAAAAAAAAAGGAAAAATTCAAATTTAGTCATAAATTTCTGCCAAAATGCATTCTGCGACATGTCTTTGCTAAAAAAAAAAACCAATACGTGTAAATTAATTGGTTTACGTGAAAGTTATAGCGTTTACAAATGGCGGGAAAGATACTGGGATTTTTAGGGTTTTTTTTATACTAAGAATGGCGGTGATTAGCGAATTATGGCGGCGATCAGGGACTTATGGCAGCGACCAGCGACTTATGGCGGGACTGCGGCGGACATTCTGACACAGGGGTACTGACTTGGGGTCACTGACATCCCCAAAAACACTAATACAGTGATCAGTGCAAAAAAAAAAAAAAAAAACTGACACTGTACTAATGGCAATGGGGAGGAAGGGGTTAACTTTATTTAGCAGGAAAGGGTTATAGGAGTGAGGGGAGTGTTTTACTAGGGGGCGGGGGTGTGTACTGGGCGGGACAAGGCTGATCGAGAAAGTGAAACTATTCTTTCTCGATCAGCTCATCCTCGAGCTGACAGACAGCACAGCTACTGCAGCTGTGCTCTCTGTCACCGTTTACCACTGATCGCCGGGACATAGCCGCTAATGAGCAGCTGTGACCCGGCAACTGACATCTGCGGCGGTGATCCACAGGACAAATAGGGCGGGCGCGCGCCCCCTATTTGTTTACAAAACGTACATTTTAAAACATCGTTTTGCCTGTGAGTGCCGCCCTGCCCCCGTATATGTACAGTGGCTGGGCGACATGCGGTTAAGGTAAAAAAAACCTTTGGTGGTCAGCTTTTCCACCAGCACCCCCTTATACTTACCTGAGCCTGATCACGAACCAGCGATGTGCATGAGAGCAGCAGTTCTCTCATCTCTCTCTATCTCCTAATTGGCTCAGAGACAGCAGCGGCAGCCATTGGCTCCTGCTACTGTCAATTACAGCCTGTGAAGAGAGGCGAGGGGGGCAGGGCCAAGCTGTGTGTGAATCGACATACAAAGTGAGGCTCAGGAGCAGTGGCTTGCTATAGGGGCACTCAGCGGGCAGGGGGAGTCGAGAAGAAGAGGATTGGGGCTGCATTGTGCAAAACCATTGCACAGAGCAGGTAAGTATTTCATATTTATTATTTTTAAAATAAAAAATTTACGGTTTATAATCACTTTAGGGAAAATGTCTAAATACACAGATGGAATACAGAGAGCAATTTCACCTGCCAAATTATTTGTATTTCTGTCCATCCAATTCTGTGATTTACATAATAAATTACTATAAGAAAGCACAGTCAGGCAGATGACATGGCTTCCTCTGTTATACAGTAGTTATAGATAATATAATATTGATACTCTTTGATAGATGTTAATCTGTTAGTCTTTTTTGGATAACAAGGTATTTTATCATATGCACTTTTGCCTTTTCTTTTCCTACATAATCAGCAATGTTCACACCCCTGAAGTGGAAACTTTTATTTTATTGTATTCTCTATAAAGTTCAACAAGGTTGCATACATGCACGGAATAAATCATAACAAGAAATATTCAGAGAACAATCCACATCGGCATCAGGCATATATGAGGCATAATGTAAATAATAAACTCCACTGCCTTGGTCTCCAAGAGTCAGCTCTTTCCTGGATCTCCTACCTATCACAGCACTCCTTCAGCGTTACCTATGACTCTGTCTCCTCCTCTCCACTTTCTCTTTCTGTAGGGGTCCCTGAAGGCTCTGTTCTTGGACCCCTTCTCTATCTACACCTCCTCTCTTGGTCACCTGATAAAACTCCCACGGCTTCCAATACCAGCTCTATGTCGATGACACCCAAATCTATTTCTCTACTTCTCACCTCAATCCTTCAGTCTCCTCTCGCATTACTAACGGACATATCAGCACCACTTCCTTAAACAAAATCTCTTTATAACGGCGCTGATATAACCTCCCCACTCCAGTGACCTCCTCTATGACTTTTCCATCGAGATCAGTAATGCAACTATCAGTCCCTTCCCTCAAGTCAGGGTAAAAGGTGTAATCCTGGACTCTGACCTATCCTTTCAGTCTCCAATCCAATCGCTGTCAAAAGCATGTAGATTGCCCCTATTTACCTAATGAAACCACCATGCTACTCATTCACTCCTTTGTTCTCTCTCGCCTTAACTATTGCAACTCCCTTCATACTTCATATTTTTTAACTTTCCTCATAGGCCTACCTCTCTGTAGGCTATCCCCTCTTCAGTCTATCATGAATGCTGCTGCCAGACACATCTACCTTACCAACCACTCAGTGTGTGCCACTCCTCTCTGCCAATTCCTCCATTGGCTTCCTATTGATCAATGAATAAAAATCAAAATACTAACAACATCATACAAAGCTATTCACAACTCTGCCCAGAGCTACAGTGGATATAAAAAGCCTACACACCGCTGTTAAAATGTCATGTTTCTGTGATGTAAAAAAAATGGGACAAAGATAAATAATTTCAGAACTTTTTCCACCTTCAATGTGACCTATAAACTGTACAACTCAGTTGAAAAAAACAAACTGAAATCTTTGGGTGGGGGGGGAGTAAACAAAAAAACTAAAATAATGCGGTTGCATAAGTGTGCACACCCTTAAACTAATACTTTGTTGAAGCACCTTTTGATGTGATTCCAGCACTCAGTCTTTTTGGGTATGAGTCTATCAGCATGGCACATCTTGACTTGGCAATATTTGCCCACTCTTCCTTGCAAAAAACACTCCAAATCTGTCAGATTGCGAGGGCATCTCTTGTGTACAGCCCCTCTTCAGATCCCCCTACAGATTTCGATCGGATTCAGGTTTGGGCTCTGGCTGGGCCATTCCAAAACTTTAATCTTCTTCTGGTGATTGGTACATCACTAATCTTGTCTCCAAAGATCACCCAAACTGTCCTCTCCACCTCTCATGATCTTTTGCTCTCAAGCTCCCTTGTCTCCTCCTCTAATGCTCATCTCCTGAACTTCGCCAGAGCCTCTCCCATCCGCTAGAACTCTCTACCTTAATCTGTCCGACTATCCCCTACTCTGGCTGCCCCCTGAAAACTCAACTCTTCACGGAAGCCTATCACACCTCCAATTAAACATTTATTATTTCCATGAGCTCATCCCCCACTGTTATAACTCTTTGTACCACTTGCCCCACCCTATTAGAGTGTAAGTTCTTATGAGGAGGGCCCTTCTAATCCTCTTGTGTTTTAATTGTATTGTAACTGTAGTGTCTCCCTTTATAGTGTAAAGCACTGTGCAAACTGTTGGCGCTATATAAATTCTGTATAATAATAAAATCAATTCATGTGGTTATATTGCTAAACATAGAACTGTCTGTAAGTGCAGTACTGGCTCATTTTAACCCTTTTATTGAATAAACATTGCTACACTATTGATGGAAGTGCGGAAAATTGCATGTGATTCGGACAGGAATTGCATTTAATTTTTTGCAGTGCGATTTGAGCCCATCCATTTTGTACAAGCTCAAATCGCACTGATAGGTACTTGGTATTGGTGAGTATTTGAGCACAAGTATCAGTACTTGTACTCGCCGTAAAAAAACAGGTATCGGTGTATCCCCATTACAACCATTTTAAGGTGCATGTAATCCCCAAAAATGAAATTTGGGTTTTGTTATTTGTTTGAAAAAATGGGTGATTATGTTGGAAATTCAGAGCTGTCCTATGTCTACAGTACTGAGTATTCAAGAAGAGTAATTAAACCCCCCTCAGTATCTGTCTTGGGACTACAGCATGAACAGGCTAGCCATTCACATGTAGCCCTGTGGGGTAGAACAAGAGAAATCAATCAATTCCCCCATCCACACCAAACAGCACTGAATCTCCATGGCCGCTATTGTATTTAGACAGCCACAGCACCTGCAGCTTTCTGAGTACCCCAACAGCACCTACATCCAATAGGATCTTGACTATCTTGGCAAGAGAAATTACAGCTGCGCTAACAACACTTGGTTCTCAAAGTTGTGTGTTTTCAGCCCACAACAGACAGGAGCCAGATCAACAGGTATTGTCCTGTACATCCGGGGTCTTTTAATGGATAAAACATAGAAGAAAAGTGTATGTATTGTGAAGCGGTCCTTAAATTGTTCTTTTTTTGCCTTGACAAATATTTTAAGCCAACTCGATACCAGGGGCGGACTGACAACTCATGGGGCCCCCGGGCAATAGGGGATCATGGGGCCCCTGTGTCCTTGCCCAAACTCAAAAAAGCCTATGAAAAAGGTACCAGGGGCATCTCATGGGGCCCCCTACTGACCCCAGGCCCTCCAAATGGTCAGTCCGCCCCTGCTCGATACATTTTAAATGTATGTAAATGTTGTTATCCATTTTAAAAAATCTAAATCTCTGTTCTTTCTAAAAAGTACGTTTTTCTTTTCATAGAGTTTTTCAGCTGTAGATTTACTCCTGAACAAAGAAATAAGAAAATACTGCATATCATCACACACAACTTACCTATTTTACCAAAAGGGTCATCTTTAAATGGATCACCTTAAAAAGAAAGGGAGAAAAGGTATGAATGACAAAAAAAAAGAAATATCAGCACAAAATACATAAAGAACCATTACCAATATAAAGTAAGAAAACAGTAAGTGACTGTGCTCCTGTGAGATCCATAAGGAGCCACACTGTTGCAGCAGCACACTCTCTGGCTGGTCCTTGACAAGTGTGTGTATGAAGAAGATACTGATATGGAAATCCATATATCCCTAGGATGTATAATAGAAGGCCCCTCCATAAGAATGAATGCGATTTTTTTCCATATATGCGCAGAAGAGACACCAGCCAAAGAACTTGCAGCAGCAGCTGTGCGGATAGTAAGGGCCACATAGCAGAGATATAGCAGTAGTGTGGAAAAGTATAAACATTTGTAAGGCATTATGCAGAGCAACATCAATCTACTATAGCATATGAGGCTAAACTACTGCACAGATATGACATTTAAAAGAGATATGAAATTTAAAAGGCCAGGTGTAGGCTGCGAAGGCTACAGATCAGTGCGGGACTATCTGCTTCCATCCTCTGGTGTCCAAGTAATGAAAATGCATGACATACCAATACTCTCAAGGCTGGACACCAGTTGCGTTTGCAATAAATCTCTCCTTTCATCTTCCATAAATATTAAATATCCTGTTCAGCGTTACAATTTCATTTCTACAGGCAAGAAGCACTCTGCTAAACCTTGGAAGGTCGCCATGAGTGCAACTTACCCATAGGAATGAATGAGGACGACGACCTGGTGGGTATTTTTTTTCCTGGAAAGTCAGTGTGGTGCCTGCCAGAGCCACAAATAGAAGATTGCTGGATCAAGGAGGAAAGTATTTTATTTGTCCAGCTGATCAGCACTCAAGGGGTGGGGGAGCAGATTTACAGGGAGAAAAAAACAAACAAAAAAAAAAAAAAACAACTTACTGCCCACAAAAGGATCACTCTGGAAGAAGTCCAGTCCCGACTCTGGCACAGGCTGTGCAGGCGGTGCACTTTGTTTTGTTTCAAAAGGATCTACATGGAACGTGACCTCCTACAGGCAAAGAAATAACATAACTAAGCCTCTGTTCACACATTGCTTTATATAATATAGTTTTTTACATCATCTGAAAATCTCTTGACATGCTGACAGTACAGCTGTCTACTTGTATAAATATTAGTTGTGTGTCATGACCCAGAAAGAAGGGAAAGCGAGAACACAGAGGGAAGTGATGATAAAGAAATGGGAGAGGGAAGGAGGAATGGAGGGTGAAGGAAAGTGTAAAGTGAAGTGAAAACAAGAAAAGAGGAGAAGAGAGAAGGGAAGGGAACAGCAAGGGAGAGGAGGGACCTAAAACTGAGGAAAGCAAAGAGAAGAGGCAAAGAGAGGAGGGAGTGGAGGAGGAATTGAGAAGATTGGAGGGCAGATAAGCTGAGAAGAGAGGAGGAAAAGGCAGAGGAAAGAAAGAAAGACGAGTGTTGAGAAGAGAGGAGTGAAGGTTAGTGTAGGGAATAAGACAGGGTAAAAGGAAGGAATTAGAAGAGAAAAAAGAAAGATTTATAGATACAGTATTACCTTGTCAAGAGTAACAGGCACATTATTGTGTTCATCTTTGTCCTCTGCATCACTCCCTGATGTATGGGCAATATCAGGACTGCTCCTTACCTAGAAAAAAAAGGAAACCCGCTTGAATTTTGTTTGTAAAACTGATAACATTTATAAATAATGTTTGTATATCTAGCACGGGTTTTCTCAACCAGGGTTTCATGCAACTTTAGGGTTCCTCCAAAGGTTTTTAGGAGTTCCTTGAGCAATGAGCCACTTCTGCCTCTCAGATAAGTTTCCACTGACACCACTGATCTATTTTCAATCTTATCTGTAAAAGGGTAATTCTTCTCAATGACAACTTTAAGGAGCATTTTTCTTATTGGCCATCACACTATTGTATCATGGATTGTAAATAGAGTAAATTTTAGCAGAGGTTCCCTGAGACCAGAACGTTGTGAATTAAACAATATATTATATTACACGCACAGAATAAACAAGCTTGTAAATGAGTGCAATAAGGGAGCAGCCAGCACACATTCCATATACCAAGTGGGTGAATCCAAGACTCTGAAACCAAAAGGGTGTGTTATAGTAAACACCACTCAGAATCCTCTTCAAAAGAGGATGATTGCTCACAGGCACTGATGCAGTGGTATCACTTTACCCTGTTAAACCCTGAAGTACGGTGCCAGCACTCTGCACTCAATGCAAAACCTTAAACCATACTAGTGCCATTGATGTACTTACCGAGGAGCTTTGGTTCTGATCTTCTACCTGAGCCAGGGTCTCATACTCTGGGTTCTCATGAAGATTGGCAGGCTCACTGCTACTATTACTTAGGCTTGAGTGATCTCCAGTACCATTGACCATGACCAGATCTAAATGAGGACGCCAGCTCAGCTGAATTTGATCATTTATGTGATTCTCAGCAGTCTTTTGTAGCTTTGCCTATTGAAAAAAAAAAAATTAAATGAGACAGTTTGATACAAAAATGCCCTAATAATCAAATTAAGATGATTAGTTTAAAGGGTTAGTTCACCTTCTACCAAAAAACTGCCTATGCAGATAAGGGGTGTCTGCGGATAAAAGCAAACTGTGCAGCCCTGACTAAAGTGGAATAATGCCCCTGCTATAGGTGTAGGCCATTTACGTACCTCATGAAGCCTGACTGGAATACTCCTAGGATGTTGCTAAGTGAGGCCTAGTCATTGGGGTCACCTCTACCATCACAGGAGTGAGCTCTGAGACACTGAGCTCAGAGCTCCTGCATCAGGGGAGAGAAAGAGCATGTGAGGGGGTCTGAATCAGTGAAAAAGCTCATTCCTGTGATTGAGGAGGTGAGCAGTAATGACTAAGCCTCACTTAGCAATGTCCTGGAAGTATTCCAGTCAGGATTCATGAGGTATGTAAATGGCCTACACCTATAAGAAAGACATTATTCCACTTTAGTCAGAGACACACAGCTTGTTTTTATCCACAGACACCCATTACCTGCATGAAGAGTTCTTTGGTGAAGGTGAACTATCCCTTTAAAGATGAACATCAGGGAGATATTAAAAAAAAAAATACACAACCCACTGGCTATACACAACAAACAAACTTTAGATCGAGGGCTAAATTCACAATTAAAGTGGAACTTTACTCAGAAAATGAAGTCCTGATAGATGACAGATAGATGTAAAACATTAAAAAGAAGTGCCTATATTGTTTAAAATCTAGCAAGAACTGGTCTCACCCTGCTCTGCACAGACTCATTTGCCCTGCATTCTCGGAACTGCGAGTCACTAGAGGCCGCTCTGCTGACAGCCTCACGAATTACTGCTTAAGCAGAGGAGGAGAAAAGAATGACAAACTCTGTTGCCAGTGAGATACCAAAGAGTTAAACTTACAAGGATAGTGTAAGGCCAGCCATACATAAAAAAAAATTAAATTGGCTGGTTCAACACGAACCAGCCAAATTTCGATCCATGTATAGTCACGCTGGTTGTATACAAGTATTTTTCTGACGATCGGTGCCACTGGTCTTCCCGCTGTCAGACTACAGTAGTTCAGCAGGAGGGATTCTCCTATCCACATCAAATGTGTGGATAGGGGAATCGATTAATTTTCTTTTGTTCAACCCACTGGTTGAACAATCATACAAACAAAAAAAAAAAAAAGACAACCTCATATATGGCCAGCTTAAAGCAGGCCATAGATTAGTCATTTTCTTGTTTAACCAGTGGGTTGAATAAAAAAATAAAAAGACTTGAGTCCTCCATCTGCACGTTTGATGTAGGGGGAATCCTCTACAATTGTCGGTCTTTTTTTGTTTATAGCACATAAAATAGAAAACACAGCGGTGATCAAATACCACCGAGCGAAAGCTTTATTTGTGGGAAAAAAATGCCAGATTTCATTTATGTAGTTTTGTATGACAGTGCAATTGTCAGTTAAAGCAACGCAGTGCCGCATTGCAAAAATGGCCTGGTCAGGAGGGGGGGGGGGGGGGGGGGACTTCTGGAGGGCAAGTGGTTAAAGAACATTAACTGCTATCAGATTGTTATGGGTAAAGTTTCCACTTTAAATTACACAGGAGCTCTTATACCTGTTATGGGGTTTAGATATTTACACAGTTGAACTCACTTTTCTCCGCTAGAGTTGAGAAATACAACCTGAGCACCTCCCTGGATGATGAGTAAGCAGCAGCAGACTGATGAGGTCATCCTCTCCCCTTATAGCTTTATTTTTTGTTCAGTACATGTGCATTTAGCAGAGCCTAATTAGCTAAGCATACTGACAGTCTGTGTGCACCGTAGATGGGTTTAAAGAAGGCACAAATACACGGATTGCATTTAAAAGTACTTTTTTTTATGAACACATAACTGTATTAAATTGTGTTTTTTTTGGGTCTGGAAATCCAGTTTTAAAAATATATTTTTTCGATAAAAATAGTTCCTGAATCTGTACTGATATCAACAGCTACTAATCCTCTGTATGATGGCACTCAGACTAGAAAGGGTTATGGAAATGGTTATGCTTTCTACAATGCTGTCAGAAAGTGAACAGGCTTACAGTAAGAGGGAGCAGTGCACAGATATAACCTCAGCACTGTGCTACTGCTCCCTCATCTTCAAAATCACACATTTTCAAGGGTCTTCACCTAGGCTGTATTGTTTGACTACACCGCTGTCTGCACTGGAGGTCCAGACACTGCCTTAACCTCCCTAGCGGTCTGATTATGTCCATATTTCTGTGCTCAAAGCTGTTCATTTTTTTGCATGGAAATGTGTATTTTTTTTATTGTAGGCCTGTAATGTTTAGGAATAACTCACTGAAATCTGTCTGAACAAGAGTCTAGTAAACATCCTGGGTATGATAAAACTTGAAACACGAAATCATAAATTATAATTTAATAAATAATCATAAAAAATAATAATATAATAATAAATTTAATTCAATAATATAATCAAACCAAAAACACTGAAATTTGAAATATAGCGCCAAGTTCGCACATCACTGAGCAAAGTCGCAAAATCGTTTTCAGTGTCTGATGACGAATTTCCCCACGAATCATTATCACTCAATTCTGCAAGTAGTTCTAATTTACTATCGCTGTTCTCTAGCTAGTCTAAAACCGCTTTTGACCTAAAGGGAAGCTTTTTGGACGCCATAGACGTTTCTCAGTTTCCAGGCAGAAAGAACAGTAAAAATGCAGGCAGGGCACAGGACAAAGCACTCGGGACAAAATGTATGTGAAATAGTTTGATACAGTAATGTTTTACTATGTGATTTTAGTGAATGTCACTTTTTGTCATTTTCAAATTTCCCGCCGTTCTGTCCCCCGTACGCCCCAACGCTCGCAGGGGACGGAACCCAGATGACAGATGCCGGCATCGGCCAGATTACATTGCCGGGGACACTGCAGGACGGACATCGTGGGAGTGCAGGACAAGGTAAGTGATCGAGGGATCGTAGAGCAGCGCCGCATGGTCAGCCCGAGTGTAGCTCGGGGTTACCGCTTGTGGTGTTGAAAATTTATCCCGAGCTACACTCAGGAATACCGCCAGGGAGGTTAAGGAACGTATACACAGACCAAAAATCAACTGGTTGAGCACAGAGCAGCCAACTTTCAGTCTTTGTTTACTGCTGTCTGTTCAGCAGAAGCCTTCTATCGAACAGTTCTGCTGGACAACCTGCATTCAATGAGCGCTTGCAGCCAAAGGCTGCAGCGCTGATCTGCCTATTCGTATAGGGTCCTCCTTGTCAGAATACGATAGCATGGCAGGAGAGATCCCAGCATCACCATCACACATCGCTTGTGCGGATGCGGGGATCTGTCATTTTTGCATTCAACCCGCTGGTTGGGGAAAAAAAAAAACCCTGAACATTTATACCTAGTTTAAATTTTCTAACAAAAAAGAGTCACAAGAACAGTTGAAGGAAATTAAAAAATTTATGGTAGCTAAAGCGGTTCATGTATACTGTACAGTATGCTTTAGCTGCTACACAGAAATACAGCTAAATATACATACATTGTTTCAACAAAAATATATTTTCTTTAAAATATTTTATCTTACAATAGGTTTAGGGAGCTAAGGAGGGCGCTGAACAGTTTTTAGGACGCTTTCACACTGAACTTTTTCTTTAAGGGTACCTTTATAAAATATCAGAATGGAAGTTGGGTATGCCCCAACAGATTTTCAGACAATTCACAGAGCTAAAACACCAGGATAGGGATACTTTTTTAAATATAAAAAAAAGGAAAACTTACTAATTGCAGCTCTTCCTGACATTCCAGCAACTGTTTCTCCAGTGGCGTGAGCCGTTCCTTTCCCTGTGCCAGGTTCTCCTCCAGCTGTACAGTCTCCTCCTGCAATTGGATCAGCTCCTCCTTAGCTTTAATGACTTCCTCCTCATAGTTGGAGATCTGTCTCTCCTGACTTGATACCTCATTTTGTAAAACAGAGACCTGAGCAAACAGAAGGGGGTCCAAGAAGAAGGAGAAGCTGAGTATGCGATAAATCATACAACCTGGGACAAGGGTACTGAGATAACTGTACAAGGATCTAAGAGCCAGCACAGGAGTCCAGAGACTGGATTGAAAAGTAAATATTAGCAAGTGTTTGCAGGCATCACAAGGTGCCTTGCGTTGGCTCCTTCTAGCACTCTTGTCATATTAGGCACGATTTACTTTAAAGAAGTCTCACTTCGATTTTTCTTGATGCGTTCTGTTCCCAGGGGACACAGTGCAAAGAGCACAAAGAACATATAGTACTTTGTCCAATCTTCCTATGCGCTGTCTAAAGTTAGCTGTGAGGTTGTCGGGATACCTCCCTTCCTCCACGGCTGTCCCACAACACAGCTAGCAAGGAGATGACTGCTCTGAAAGATGGCACATTTCTCTGTCTTCAAGCACTACCTGGAACATTTTAGCTGCCAGGCACCCCCTCCTCTGCATTCCTTTAAGATGCTGGTCTTGGGCAAGTGCCTGAAGACAGAGAAAAGAGCCATCTGCCAAAGCAGCCATCTCCTTGCTAGCTGCGTTGTCAGACAGCCAAGGAGGGAGGAGTGGGTGTCCTGTCTGACCCGTCTGACCTCACCACTAATTTCAGCCATCACTTAGAAGATAGGAATTACTGCACGTATTTTGTCCACTGGGGAACAGGACACAATACAAATAGTGAGACTTCTTTATCAAGCCTGTGAGAGAATCAACAAATGTCAGAAATAAGCAATACTGAAAATGTCTTACCATTCCCCAAAAAAGGAAACCGGAGCTTTTATCCAAAATAACTTTACCTGTCTTGCCTCCTCCTCACATTTCAATCTCAGCTCCTGTAACTCTTTCTCCAGTTTTGCTTTCTGCTCATCCAGACCTGCAAGCACCTCCTCTACCTCCAGCTTCTGGGCTTGGAGCTTCTTCAAATTAGCATTCTCTTTCTCCACCTCATCCTGAAGATCCTAAACACAACAGACCAATAAGAGACCAAGTTGGTACAAGTGGGTAATGAAGAATTCTATTGAAGTGTCATTAAAGGAAATTTTTTTATTTTTAGTTTTGGATACAGTGGAGAGGGATTAGAACTCGTCAGGTTTTGTTTCTGCCTGTGTTCCGGTTAGGGAGATTTACCCTCTCTACTTATCTTGTTTACCGTTATTGTCAAGTATCAATGTATAAAAAAAATCCCAAATTTTGGATTCACATTAGAACAGGAATAGTAGGGAAATCTTTCAATGGGGTACTAGCTCTGGTGACTCCGTGGGATTCCCTTACTTTGGAAGGATTTCCTCTCCCTTCCTATTTTGGCTACAGGACAAGAAGTGAAGAAAAATCTCCACAGTGGGACACAGATGGCAAAACAAATCTGACTGGGGTTATAACCTCTTAGATTGTAAACTCCAAGGAGCAGACCCCTCCTAATCCTCTTGTATTGAACTGTATTGTCTCCCCTTATATTGTAAAGCGCTATATAAATCCTGTATAATAATAATATTAACAATCTTACCCCATCCAAAATGAAACAAAATTGCCTTTAGTGACCCTTAATAAATAATAATTTGGTGTTCTCTTTCTCCTTGCTGCTTAAACATTCCCTTGCTGTTCTCCTTCTCTAACACAACCACCAGGGTTATCCCAGTTAAAATTATGTAAAGCATATCTATTCTAAAATATTATCTTAAAGGATAAATGCACTTTTAGCATCCTTATCTTTTTACGCCCTCCTCTCCCAGCAACTGGCAAAGTCTTATACTAAAGATGTGTATACAAGCACAGGTTGGGTTTCTATTCTCATTGAACCAACGGGTTGAATGGAAAAAATTGACAGATCTTCACATCCACACAAGCGAGGCTTGGAACGCATGCCGGCCATCAATATTGGTTTTCACACAAACATAGGCTGCATAGACTGGTGCTGGTTTACGGGCACCAGTGCATGTGAGTGCATTGATATATGTCTATCTTGTTATGCTATTTTCAATAAATACTGCACTTAGAGCAATTTAATTCATTTGGTTTATTTGAGCTGCTTTGAGCATTACCTTTATCTTGAGGAGAGCCTGGGATTGTGAATCTATCCACCATTTGTGTACCCAGAGTCTAGTGATCACCGAACTTGGAGCAGTCATCTCTGATCCCCTGGATCCATATCTCTTATTAGGAGACCGGGGAGGTCTAATCTAGGAGAGCCTGGGATTGTGAATCTATCCACCATTTGTGTACCCAGAGTCTAGTGATCACCGAACTGGGGGCAGTCATCTCTGATCCCTTGGATCCATATCTTTTATTAGGATACCGGGAGGTCTGATCCAGGAGAGCCTGTTGCTGGTCGTCAATATTTATGATAACAAAACGATATTTGACCACCTTAACCGGGGTCAATTCTGTCTGGCGAGTGAGAAATTCACTTATTGTCTACGCGTAGTGAAAGAGCATATTTTTGGTCTACGGGACTGTATCTTTATTTGAATGTCACTATAATATATTATGTTTACTATTCACCATTGTTATATAATCACTATTCACTATTGTTATATAATCATTGCAGCGTCTAACTACTCACGTATTCAAAAATATTTAAGAGTCCCAGGCACCCACAGATAACAGAACAGGAATATCAGTCACTGTCAGTCTGTGTGACAGGGCAAAATGTGTCTGGGAAATCAAACAAGTGGACTATTTCTCTAATTAAAAGCAGAGCAAATGAGAAAATATGGATGCTATCCACGTCAAAAAGATTTTAGCATTCACTCTCCAATCTGCAAGTGAATTTCCATCTTGAAATAGGTTTTTCAAGGGAATACTTTTGTGGCAGTTGTGCGCATGGACACATGGACCTGACAACCATTTTGTTAAGGTCTTCCATCTTGTGTCCTGGGTCTGCAGATGTCATTCTCACTCTGTCCAGTCCCCCCTCCCCTTTGAATGGAATGTGGTCTGTGTGTGTGCACTGGGGTCACAAATGCATAAGGCACAGCTGGATAAGCTTCATGGTTGTAACCCCAATTAAGCCTTGTGCCAGAGGGTCTGACAAACACTTTCATCTGCCCGGTCGTAAAACTATAACTTAGTCGGTCACTTGACATGTAAGCATTACCTCAGAGTGGCCATAAAACGTACATTCCACGAGTCATTTCTCATACAAATTCATAAAGTTCCGCAGGAACTGAGCAAATTGATATAAAGCATATATTCAGATAGGTCATTTTTATACGAGTCATCTGACACCTTTCACCCCTAGGTAGCGTCTACAAGAAAGTAGAAAGCAATATATTTTTATCCGGAATGGCAGCATATGCCATATTTGGTATCTGGATGTTTTCGGAATATGATTCTGCATCTGCCAGTGGCTAGGATGCTACATGTACCTATTAAAGGTTATTGACCATGGTATAAACTTGTGAGGGATTTGGTCATGGCCTGGGTCCCCGCCTAACACCCCTCCCCAAATGAGGCAATTGGCCCTTGGCTTCAGGAGACACCCCCTGCTGGGATACTAAAAAAAAGGCTGACATGCCTGGAGAGAAAAAAGAAGAGATACCTCCCTTTTAACATCAGGAACATGTTTGGGAGAAAGGCAACCCTTTTGTTCGGATGTTTGGACTCTGCTGAAACCAAGGACTTTTTGCAAGTATCCCTACCTTCTGAAACTTCTTTCTTTTATTTCTCTGTTGTTTTATTGCTCTCTCTCTATTTATATATATTTGTTACATCTTTTTCTGTAAATATTTTAATTGCACCAATTTGACCTTTTTAGTAATAAATCCTATTTTCTGAAAAGTGTTGAAATTGTCTCTAAAGTGCAAACTAAAAGAATCTGTCTCTGAAGTGTGCTACTGTATGTGATAATCCTCTGAAATACATCTGTCTGTGGTGGCAGTGTGTATACAGACGCTTATATTAATATCACAGTGTTACTGCTAAGAGTTGTGAGTTTCCTCCTTCTCTGTAAAAAGGTGGTAGAGGCAGTGTGAAGGGTTAATTGTGTAATTAACCTGACCCAGTAACAATCGCTCTCAGGCGGCTGGCACATAGATTGTGGTCCCGCGAGCTGGAAAATCTTTGTGCACGGTGCAGCTGAGAGTGGCATTGTTACGCAAGTGACAGCACGGTCTGGGATTGGCTGGTCCTTCGGTCACAAATTGGTGAGAAGGGCTGGGGTCTGACGCCGCACACCGTCACAACTTTCACTTACTTTTTTGAACTATTTGTTAAAAATAGCCACCTGTTATAGCAGAACGTGTCAACATTTTTTGACAGATATAAATGGATATGTGCTTTAATATATTCCTGTCTGTTTATTCTGGTCCCAGTGATGGAAAGCTGTGTAAACTAGTACATAAAAAAAGAATGCAATGGTTTCCAAATCTCACAAACCCAAATTTTATTCACAACAGAAAATAGCAAATGTTTACACTGGAAAATGTACCATTTTAAGAAAAAAAAAAAAAATAGGTAACTTTGAAATTGATGGCAACAATACGCCTCAAAAAAGCCAGTAGAGCATTGTACTGCATTCATCATTGCATTCCGTTTTATGTAGATTTTACACAGCATCCCAACTCTTTTGGAATTGGGGTTGTGATTTTACTTGCCGAAAAGGAATGCTTGTTGCTTCTTAACCAAGAAAAGCAAGGTCATCTGATATAATCTGTGAAGCTTGCTATTGTGACATGCCAGGACACTAATTTATGTAAATAAAACTGTTTTGATACTGAAGATGAGTCATTCTTGGAAGCAAAATCCTGAAAGTCACTACTTTGTAAACAAAAAAAACTTGAAAACATCACCCAATTAGGCAGTGAATAGACTTGGAGCAGATGTGCTTCAACTTTGAAGTTGAATCCTGAACTCAATTTCTGGGGGGGGAAAAGCCATAGGTCTACTAAAGTCACCAAAAGGTTTACTGTGAGGACCCTTTTGGAGTTTTGATCCAACGGTTGCATTCCTAGGGCCTTGGTCAGCACCATGGCCCTCCAGCATTGAGGGGCCTGCACCTAATTTTTCTAGAGATACTGTCTACATGACATTTTCCTTTCTGCTTGGTTGAGGCAGGGTCTTCTGAGTGCTCTGGTTTCCAACCAGAAAATGAACACATAAAGCAAACTTAACTAACCCTATAGAGGGTATGTGTTTGTGTGTTCTTATGATTGCACTAGGGAAATAAAACCATAACATTTACGTTAAAGTGGTATTAAACCCAAAAAACAGAAATGTAATATAATGCAGCTTATCACTCAGATGTGGTGGCTGTATTATGTATCTTTTTTAGAATTTTTCCCTCTGTTTTCACCTGGTGATCTGGCCAGTAAGACACTTCCAGTATTAGAATACCCCCACTCTGGATGAAAGAGCACCTTTGGAGAGCTGCATTGTCAGTCTTTGGGGGAGGGGGGTGTTATATGTACTAGCAGATTTTAAATGCACTAACAAATTGAAGCCATACTCTGACTAATACTTTATAAGCAATTATAGCAGTTTTTCCTGTTGGGATAAAGGTTTTAAATGAATAAATAAAAGCTGTTCACTGTAAGTACCCCTGCCAGTGGCAAATGGTTGTCTCAACCTATTAACTGATACATTTGCAGGACAGCTAGCTCTGTTAAAAAACAACAGACTTACTGGCCAGATCACAATGTAAAAATAAAGGAAAGAAAGCCTAAAACTAATGCAGCCATCACATCTATGAATTGGTAATCTGCAATCTAATAAATGTTTACTTTTGGGTTTAATATCACTTTAAGACAGAAAATCATGTTACTGGATCTACTGCATGTACTTAGACCCAGATTTGTGAAAACGTCAATGAATAAGGCAGTACAACTTTAGAATGAATGAACGAATGACAGATAGACCGTAATTTTATTAAAGCTGAGATCCAGCCCAAAACATATATTAGCTTTGGACAGAGTAGGGAAGGATTGCACTTTCGCTTAGTTTCATGTCCTAGTGACAGAAAATG